CTCCAGCACCTCACTGAACGTTTCCCTGGGACCCGCTTTCGTTATGACAACTGCTTTTGTTACTGCATTCGAATTCAAGACTTCGTTTCTACGCCGTCATTTAAACGCAGTCTTCTTCTCACTGACAGCCCGTTGAATCCCTCTTCTCTAGCAGGAAATCCATTTCTACCTCCGGGCGGCAGGACAATCCGTTTTAAACCACGACATTTGACAGCAGCCCTAACTAAGCCGTTCTTAAACCTTTCGCTAGGGTTTCTACATCGGCGTCAACGGTTATCACCGGGCTGTTAAAACCGTCGTGCGACGTTGCATACATATTTTCTCGTCGTATCCGTAAATGTTTCCCATTTGATTCTCTGGTTGCTTCTGCCATCAGTTCTTCGTATGGTACTCCATTTCTTACAGCGTAGCCAACATGCCAACAACAAGGTAATGATCGGTTGATAGCTCTGCGTCTCTTTTAACACGAACATCCATTACTGAGCGATACGAATATCAAATCGATCATCAATTTTTCTGCACAAGCTTTGTTTTACCAGATATACTGATACTCGAAGAAGGTGTTCGTAACGAACTGTTCGTTGTGTTAACAATAACATTTTCGCTGTTATTGTTGAGGTCGCTAGGGCCGTTGCTTCCTGTCACGCCTTTCCATTTTTAGCTTGTACTCCAACATGCGCATTAAAATCGCTCATGAATATGAGGGATTGCGTGTTCGACACTTCGTACAGAGCATATTCCACTATCTCAAGGAGGAGTCATATTCTCTCTCTATACTGGACGCATAGACTTGTAACAAGACCAGTGCTTTAGCCTCTGTAGCTTCAGTTGGAGGATTGCCACTCTTCTGCTAAAGGGCTTCCGTTCAGTGATTCTGTCAGCCAGGCTGGGTTCAACAACTCGGGATTGAGGGCGCGTCATAAAATCGGCACCTGAACCGAATAGCATACACCCGCACAGGTTAAGAATTTCAAGGCTGTAGTGATTTGTTGATAAGAGTCTAACAATATCCTCTCGGTATTTTGCAGCGTCATGAATTTGCTCCTGCTCTTTCCATGTGACTGAGGGTAAGTTTGAATTTCCAACTATAAGCTCGCGCTATAGGTATCGTTCCGTTAGAACTTTATCTGGCATGTTATAATGACACCATGCTGTCTTCCTCCGCCATTCAGAGTGGGTAGCGGCTTCGTTGCTTACTGGTTTCGTAGTCTTTTTGTCGACCTTCGAGCCGTCGCCGTTCTGCAGTACCTCCATTTGCCTGAAGTCGTGAAGCAGGGTCAGATCGCCGAGTTTTCGCAGTCTGACTCTGTTACCCAAGAGTTACCAACTATTACTGAGAGTAATATAACCAAGAGTAATATAACCCGTTCAAAGCTCTTTTCCTTTTCCTTCAGCGATTTAAGACCGGCAGCGGCGGAGTAGCCACGATTTCGATTATAAAATGGGCAGCTGATATTTAGTTCATCGTTTTGTGACAAGGTGTTTTGAATTTGATAGTATGTCTGTTTCACTGGTTCGTCAATCGTTGTGCCACCAAGGTAATCATTTTTGGTTTTACGTAATTGCCTCGCTTCATTAAATTGTTCGCAGTTCTTTTATCCGTCCATCAGATCGTTCATTCTTTATTCACTCAGTTATTTTGCCATCTGTTGGATCATTCATTCATTTTTTAAATGTTTCTTTCGTTCATTCTTCCTTTAACTGATTAATGTTTTGCCAGTCTTTTTAGATTTCAGAGTAGCAACTTCAGGACTTGCCAATTCTGGTTTTCTGTCCATTAAGCATGTTTTAGGAACTGGTTTTGAAAATTGAATTTATTTATATATTCTAATAGCCTGATATTTTATGGTTTGGGTAGTCAATTCAGCAGATGTTCAAATTTTGAACGATTCCTTCCTCTGCCAATTAGGCAAGGTCTAACCATTGTTTTCCAGGGAAACACAGTGCCAAATGTTAATGTACTCAAACCGTCTGGCTCAGGGTCGACGCAGAATCTCATTCTATAATTTAAATTGATCAGGTATTGCCTTTTAAATACACGAGATTCATAAATTTCAGATATAAGATCGTTTTTTCGGAGGTAATCGAACGTGGAGATTTTCCACCGTTTCCGCGACTAGTACTGCTATTAAGATTGGCTGCTGTTCTTCTGAAATTAATTTCAAATTTTCGCATTTTCTAGAAATGGCTGCCATTATAGATAGATGTTTAAGTTCACGTGTAGGTGCCCACAGTGACTTTGAACGCAAATGGATCTTTTTCTAGGCCAAGAAGTTTGGAATGGAAAGAAAAACGATTCGTGGTCAGGAATTCGTTACTGACGTACGTCGACGTGAGCGCTAGCCGTACTATGCATGCTAACATACCTGTATGTTTTCAGTGACATTTCGAAACTTCCGCATTTTCGCATCGTCTGCAACATATTTTGGGCCGGCTTGTTGCTGATCGCCGTAAACTCTATAGTTCACGATTGTCTGGAGCCTGGATCGTATGTATTCGATTTGTTAAATAGTGATCGTTTGTGCACAGAGGTTCAGAGTCCATTTGTTACTATTGTTCGTATTTGAGTTTAAGATAGGCTGATAGCTCTTAACCTCATGAATTATTGCGGAGGTTGTAAAAGGAAAGCAATAAAAGTCCAACAACCAATCATCTGTCCCGAAACAGACCCCTGAAGTATTTGGATCCAACTTGGGCAGTGACTTCTCATCCAGTAAACGAATAGTTTCCGTTATATGAATTAAAATTGTTTTCTTTGTTTTCTACCGTATGACTCAGAGCGCTGTAACAAATTGCTCAATACGGATTATTTGAATATGCATACTCTACAATTGAACATTGCGTAGTTTCAGTTCAGATACTACAAAATCATGATATTTCAATGATACACTCATTTTTGGACAGTGAAACGTTTTCTAGACGCCAGCTTGCACTTGCAGGTGTGTCAGTGCCTTTTTTCGTTCCTTCAGTACTAAATATACGGATTTGAATTAAGATGCAGCGAAAAACATTTCTAATCTGTTAATTACTACAAGCATGCATTTCGTCGTTGCCATTCTGGATAGAATTGACAAGTCGATGAGCCACCTCGAGAGATTGGCGTTATGGTTTGGTCATGCATGAGGTAAACACAAGGTAAAGTAATCTACACTCTACTTAACCTGACAGTTCAGCAGCCACAACTTTAAATCTTTAGATGTAAACAGAAATTAAATCAGAACAACAGCCAGTGATGCGCATGGATGTTTCCAGACATTGCCAAGCATAATGCTTTAACAGTGGATGCTGCGCTTTTTACAGGAAATTCTCATTTCAGACTGAGACTGAACCTGGAGCTATTTCGTTGGTGTTTTGGTAAAATGCCCTACGTGATCACCATCTGGCTACTGATGTTCATGAGTACCATTGTAGTCTTTTTTCCGTGTTACAATTACTGGGCACACCAGTGTTACACCTCAAGTAGGGTGTATAGGTGAGCTTCGCTTGTCCCGTCACTAACATTTGTACAATTTTTCAGAACACATCGACATTGCATTTCTGGTCGCTTATATCTTGCACATCGTCCTGATGCTGGTCCTACCACTGAAATACATCTTCCACTACGACCTGCCGTCCGCTTCATCGATGGTCGTTTCCTGCGAGCAGGTGATTGGTCGTGGACTATTCCGCAGTTCTATTTTCAGTTTTAGGTGAGATTGATCATGAAAGTACATGCTTTTGTTCGCGAGAATATCCCGCGTACGTTGAAGTACAAAGCGAAGATGCTTCATAAAGGTAAGCTACTTACTTATGAATGCCATCAGGGTATCTTTTTGTTAATAAAAAACGCCAGATCGTCTGTTGGTCATCCGATTTGGCAGTTCCTGATATCGAAAAAGATGACAGAAATGAGGTAGCTTCGAAGGTTTATAAGGCGGCGAAACAGGGCATGCTTCAGTACATGCCAGCCAGAAATACCCGTAATGTCATAATTGAGAAATTTGTGATAGTATCCAAATCCTGTCAGAACAGCCCGTTTGATTATGGGCGTAATCACAAAGAAATATCGCTGGAAAATTATCTAATGAATGGAAACGTACCGACAAATTGCTACTTCAATGGTTGTAGACACAAGAACTCGCATTGAGGATAGCCTTTATTAAAATTGCTGATGTTACGGTTGAACTTAATTGCTGTTCTTAGGGGCAAACGGTCAAAGGTTTCATGTTTGAGATAATAGTTTAGTTTGGCTGAAACGTCCATACTTTCTGCCTGTTTCCTTGTGTCTAACACCATTGAAGTGATAACTTATAAAAGAAGAAGACAAAATTGATGTGAGCTTTGGAATGGTGCCAAGTTTTCTATTTTGATTACAGCTTTACTTTAGAAGATGGAATGAACGATGATGATAACGACATGAACGTCATCGCTTGTCCAGATTTTCAGCGTTTCCTTTACTTTCTATTTGCACCGACGCTCATTTACCGCGACGAATATCCGAGGTTTGTAGCTTAGTGATGAAATGATTTATCATTCTCCACTTTTCGTTTTCTGTGTTATGAACGCCGTGCATGCACCATAGTATGTCTTAATGCGCTGTGAATCTTCGAGTAACGCGGTTGCTGCCTCGATGAAAAATCGCTATTCTGCTCACTGTTGTTCATCTACAGATTAGTTAGCTTAAAT